GCTGACGTCAGCAGGGTTGTGGTTGCCCCCCCCCCCCTCCTACTCTCTAACACAAATTAGGCTTAAAGTTTTGTAAAGAACAGAGGTAGGGGCGGGGTAATCGATATGCGTATAATTTATTCAAAGCTGTATGTATTGATAGGTTTATAGTTGTATGTATGGATGGTTTACAGTCAGATCAAAAGTAAAATTCTAAGAAAGTTAAGGAAGTGAGTAGAAACGGTGATATGGCGGAAGAATGTTCACATTACGATATGTGATCAAATACACTACATGTAATGTGTCACACCTACATAGCTCAGTACTAATCATGTGGTCTAATACACCACACTCAATGTGTCACACCCATAGTGGTCAGTGCTAATCATGTGGTCTAATACACCATACTCAATGTGTCACACCTACATAGTTCAGTGCTAATCATTTGGTCTAATACACCTCACTCAATATGTCAAACCTATATAGCTCAGTGCTAATCATGTGGTATAATACACCACACTCAATATGTCAATAACTCAGTGCTAATTATGTGGTCTAATACACCACACTCAATATGTCACACCTATAGTCAGTGCTAATCATGTGGTCTAATACACCACACTCAATATGTCACACCCATAGTGGTCAGTGCTAATTATGTGGTCTAAATTTAAAATCTAACCATCTAGTCAAAACAGGCATCAACGAGTAAGACTTAGACCTTCAAATCTCGCCACTGTCGATATCGAAATTTTGCGATCTCCCTTTTCGATAAACATCTTTCCAACACAGTCGATAATTGCTTTAGAGTGTATGAAGCAGTTACTAAAAAAGACAACGAAATGGAGTGGCGATTTTCAAGATTTTCCTTTTTGTTGCCTTTTGAACCCAACACATTATAAATAGCCTCGATAAGTTTTCAGCCGCGCCCCACTACAACCTCACCATATCCCCTCCGTCGTTCCAGACAGCTGACTGTCGCAGTAGACACACAGAATCTGTTCATTCATCAATCAAAAACAGTTTTACCTATTCAATTTTAACTTTCAACCCCAAACATAACTAGGAAAAAACTTACAAAACTTGACACCACAGTTAGTGCCCAGATGAGCCAACACCAGAAAGGTTGTCCCCCTTGATTGACACTTGAGATCGAACACGGCCATTATCCCATCGAACTAACCTTGCTATATTTCCGCTTGCTTGCGGTTTAGTTTGTTTGTAAGAAATAAAATGTATGTAGTGTTTACCATTGTGTAAGGATTTCCTTCCTTATTGGACCAAGTGGCTGTTCCGTCATAATAAATTCATGACTGTTCAATTACACATGGATCTAGTGGGTTACATTCAAGGCGATGTCAATGTTTGAATCTTTAGACGGAATCAATAACTTAGTTATATTTAAATGTACACGATGTAATGATTACATGGTCGCACCAAACTATTGTGAGTACATTCACTAAAAACAATGTAATGAGTACATGTTCACATTAAAACAATGTAATGTTCACATCATTTGAAATCTTCATCGCGACCAATGTCGGTATCCAAAACCATCACTAACTCTACGAACATCCCTCACCAGGTAGACAAGGGTATGTTTATACTGCGAATGTCCACATTCTACAATTTTAACTAGTTTAGGCAATGAAGTTTCTTATAGTGTGCTTCATGCGGTAGATAAAGGCGCTTCTCGCTCAACCCTGTGTTACGTAATAGCATTGTCTTATAGATATGTTGTATAATTCAGCTAGAAACATTTTTTTTCATGTGTCTATTTTGGCTCCCCTAGGGTCGGCGCCCGGGGACATATGTACCCACCCACCCGCCCCGTCCTCCCCCCCCCCTCCCTACGCTACGCCTCTGTATCTGTAGATCTAGGACCGTGTCATGTATGTTAACCGTTACCTAACGTATGTGAATAATGTATGTTTGAAAAGGTAAACACACAGAATAATTTCCTGGACAAAGGAACACCAGAGCCGGGTGGGGAGGTGGCAGTAATTGGACAGGACAGAGAGACAACTAGAGAATGAGCAGGTTTATCAGTCTGTTGTACACAATGGACGGAGTTCTTGTAAGATAAGAAACGTAATGGGCGGGAGAGAAGCATTCTCAGCACATTTCAGTAAGGTGGGCGGTGGTCAGTTGGTGGTCTGTTGGTCAGTTGGTGGTCTGTTGGTCAGTTGGTGGTCTGTTGGTCAGTTGATGGTCTGTTGGTCAGTTGGTGGTCTGTTGGTCAGTTGGTGGTCAGTTGGTGGTCTGTTGTCAGTTGGTGGTCTGTTGGTTATCGCAGGTCTCTTGTTGTGCGCTTTGTTCTGGTTGGTACCGTCATGGTAGTTAGCCTTAACGTATGTGTGTGTGTGTGTGTTACGCAAGTCAGCAAATTTTAGAGCTTCTATAGCTGCAACCGCTGTAATTGATCTTTAATGTTCTGACAAAGAATATATAAATACATTTATAAATCCTACACTAGTTTACAAGACAACTGAATGTTGGCTTGTCATGAGAATTCAAACATGTTTCGCATAAAACACTAGTGAAATTCGGATATCGATTTTTTAGAATGTGTTGAGATCGATATAAATCTAGCGTGCTGTGTGTGTCACTCATAACGACCGGCACACGAGCGACCGGAGTTTGTATTGATCAGAGTCAAACACACGGTCACGTGGTGAATCATTCGGTCTATCGGCGAGTGGCGGCGGGTTTTGATTGGTGGACCCAAGCAAAACGTGCTCGAGGTATTCGGCCGGTTTTCTTTAAAATAAAAAATAAAAACAATGCTCCAATTAATTAGTTGAATTACACTGGATGTATTTTATTTGTAAATTGAAAAATATGCCGCTAGGAAAGAGTCTTAATTCGCAAACCTTGAATAACAAACCAAAATGACATATCGCAACAAAGAAGTTTGATAGGCAAACCTCTGCTTACGCAACAAAAGAAGTTTGATAGGCAAACCTCGACTCACGAACCAAGTGGAAAAGGTCTACCTTCACTATTGAGCTATAAATAAAAAAGACATTAGGACAAAATAATCATAAGGATAAGGATATAATTCGATCTCGGAAACGACAAATTACACGCTGACCTCTTGAATTTGTTCACTGATTGTTTCACCCACTGTCCCACAATGGACTCGCCCAACACAACGCTCACGTGTTGCTAGTGGTAACATACCCCCTCCCCCCTCCCAAAGTAAGGTTAAGGCTAAGGTTTAAGGTTAAATCAAGGGCTAGTGTTGACATTAGTATCAGTAATAGAAGATTGACTTGTGACAATCGAACAAAACCTTCTTAGAAAGAATCAAAATTCAAACCATAATTTTTTTATTGTTTGTTTTTTGTTATGTACTCTGATGGGGAATGATTTCATAGACGCACTAGTTTTATATTGTGTAGTAAACAAAACTAAATAAATGAAAATGTCTATTTCAAAGACATTTTTTGGACCCGTATTCCCTATAAACACTAAAGGACTGCAGGGACTGAAGGAAGCCAGACAATGACTAGCCAGACCTAGAGAAACATGCGGGATAAAAATTGTGTGTGTCGGTTTGATTAATTGTGCTGGGTCTGCAGGTTTGTCTAAAATTATTGATTCAATTCAGCAAGGGTGTCTGGCATAGCAGTCTGGTGCGTCAGTCAGTCAAGATTGTAGTGCGTCAGCCAGTGTGTCAGTCAGTCAGTCCAGTAATGTATCAGTCAGTCAGCAGTCTATTAGTGTATCAGTCAGTGTGTCAGTCCAGTAGTATATCAGTCAGTCAGTCAGTCTATTAGTGTATCAGTCAGTGTGTCAGTCCAGTAGTATATCAGTCAGTCAGCAGTCTATTAGTGTATCAGTCAGTGTGTCAGTCCAGTAGTATATCAGTCAGTCACTCAGTGTATCAGTCAGTCACCCAGTCAGTGAGTGAGTCAGTCAGTTAGTCCAGTGGTGTGTCAGTCAGTGTGTCAGTCCGTTTGTCAGTCAGTGTGTCAGTCAGTTTGTCAGTCTGTCATTGAGATGAGTCATTCCAGTAGTACATCCGGCAGTCAGGTTGATAGTGTTTCTGCCTAGCAGGTTGGTAGTGCGTCTAGTAGTGTGTCTGTCCATCAGTTTGTGCATCAGTCTGTCCTGTTGAGTCAGACAGGCTAGCAGCCTAGTGTTAGAGTCAATGAAAGAAGTTGTTTACATCAAACCACGTGTGTTCCGCTTGAGCTGACCGAGACCAACCCAACCAACCGTGAAAAATGGAACTGGAGGCGAAAGATCAATCATTCATCTTAGAGTTAACACCGGCCCTTCTCCAACCTTCATAACACCACGTAACGAAATAAACAAGACAATTTAACACTTACCGTATTCTCAATTAAAACGCCCCATTCTTTAACGCTTATGCCGATTGTTTAAAGTAAATGATAAAACATCATTCCTTCAAAATTAATACAAGCTACATATTAAAGCCAAGTCTAGACTAAATCGTGTGCATTCACATGCAGGTAAACATGTTTATGGTCTACATAGAATAACCCGATTTAGGTGTGATCGATATTTGCTGTTAGATTGAATCTCACTGTCGCAAGACTTGGATCCGTCAGACTATGCTAGAAATCAGGCCACACCTGCTGTCTACCTTAGCAGACGACAACGTCAGAGATAAAGAAAAACACGCGAAATGATGCCTGGGTACAGTTTTTACACAGTGATATTTAGACACGTTAATCTTTATAGAGAGTTAAGTTTAAAAGTCGTACAGTTAAAACTAGTTATGTTTAGACCTCTTATAAAGCCATTACGCAACATTTTTCTTGAGCGAAGTAGAGGATATAAAAGTAAAGTTACAAAAGCTAAAGTAAGATTTAGACGAAGGTATTAAAAGTTTAGAGTTGATAAAGGAGGAAAGTTTAGAAAAAGTAAAGAAAGACTAAATAAATAAAAATAAATATATCAAGGGTACACGTCAACACAGAACTTGCCGTACGAGTTTGTTTCTTTAAATCCTTTAAAACTAGATAAATAAAACAAGGATTAATCCTTACCTGTACAGTGTACTCTACTGGCATCAAATATCCTGTGTGTTGAAACACCTGAGATTATGTGTCCACAAGTTACAGAATCTGGTTACCGTGGCACAACACACATATAAGAAACACCTGAGATTATGTGTCCACGAGTTACAGAATGTAGTTATAGTGACACAACACTCTTATAAAGAAACACCTGAGATTGTATCCACACCTGAGATTATGTGTCCAGAAGTTACAGACTCTGGCTACCGTGATACAACACACATATAAGAAACACTAAGAAACACCTGAGATTATGTGTCCACCAGTTACAGAATCTGGCTACTGTGATACAACACACGTCTAAGAAATGTCAACAAAATGCTGTGAGCTAAGTGACTTGACCCCGTTCGCCTCCGTGACGAAGGGACAGAACTGCGCCTCGCCTCACTCGTTTTCCCGTCTTGTCTGCTAGCAGACGATAGCCAACAGACGACTGCTAGACACCGCGGCAAAATACTGCGATAAAAAAATATAAACCGGTCCGGGTTAAGTTGGCAATTTTTTTTCCCCTTAAAGAATTTGTTACACAGCGATCTTTAGGAGCTAATCAAAGACTTGAATAGGCTAGTAAAGTCTGTAGAAACTTCTAACTTTCATTCATAAAATTATAGTCCTAATATTTCCCATTCGACGGTGGTTCTCATACTTTGCCTTCAATGAGCATCTGTAGAGCTGTAAATTAAATGACCCTTGACGATGCTGTCGAATAGCGAATTTATCAAACAGCCTTTTTTTTGTTGATCGTTTTCAAAAGAAGAAAATTTAAACTTAGGTACAACGCATGATCAAACAATAAGTTGTTTTTTAAGACAGAAGGATTAACGCACGCAATTAATTAAATATATAAAAGATTGATATTAATTATTTTTTATATGTGGGAGAAAAGGCGGTTGTAATTACACTATAAAGCTGCAATTATCTACTCTCAAATATCGTTAATTCTCACTTTCCTTATACCTCACATTAACGGACGAATTTTTCTATACACGTTATCTCCAATCACCCACTGCATTATGGGAGAGAATTATCACGTCATATTTGAGTGGGTCTGACATTTTGGGATGGCCTTTGACGAAGGAAGTGAAAAGGTCAACAATGTACACAAACCAGGGTCAACTCATTATCACATCACTATCTTAAAACTGGCCTGCCTTAAACTAGCCTACGTTAAACCAGCCTACGTTAACCAGGCCTACGTTGAGTTGGTTCGGTTAAACTAGCATGCATTGAACTAGCTGTGATTAATCAGCCTGGTTAAACTAGCCATCACTACACAGTACCTACAGAGCATTAAACATCTGACTTTATCTACAATTAAGAGAAATCGAAAGTAGAATTCTTAGAATGAGGCACACCCAATTATGCCTCAGTTTCCATCTTAATTAAACAGATAAAAAAATATCCATCATCGTTCTAGTGAAGCAGCGTTAATTAGTCACGTGACCCCCGTGTCTGTAGTCCTGGTCCAGGAAATCATCGATCTGAGAGTTCATGACCCCGTGAGTCACCCATCTAGTCAGGAAACATTCAGCTACAGGCGGGCGAGCCTTGTCAAGAGAATCATCACAGCTTATGACGCACCAGCACTGTGGCGTTTTCTTAGTGCTTAGCACTTTGTGCTGTTTTTTGTTTACGTTTTGTGGTTTAACTATCGCAGGCACATCTTAGATTGCAAGTTTGTTGTGAGGCCAATAAGTATGTGGTGAGGTACAGCTTTGTATGTGGTGAGACAGAGCTTTGTATGTGGTGAGAGAGAGTTTTGTATGTGGTGAGGTAGAGCTTTGTATGTGGTGAGACAGAGCTTTGTATGTGGTGAGACAGAGTTTTGTATGTGGTGAGACAGAGCTTTGTATGTGGTGAGACAGAGCTTTGTATGTGGTGAGACAGAGCTTTGTATGTGGTGAGGTAGAGCTTTGTATGTGGTGAGGTAGAGCTTTGTATGTGGTGAGACAGAGCTTTGTATGTGGTGAGACAGAGCTTTGCATGTGGTGAGGTAGAGCTTTGTATGTGGTGAGACAGAGCTTAGTATGTGGTGAGGTAGAGCTTTGTATGAGGTGAGACAGAGCTTTGTATGTGGTGAGGTACAGCTTAGTATGTGGTGAGACAGAGCTTTGTATGTGGTGAGGTACAGCTTAGTATGTGGTGAGACAGAGCTTTGTATGTGGTGAGGTACAGCTTTGTATGTGGTGAGAGAGAGTTTTGTATGTGGTGAGGTACAGCTTAGTATGTGGTGAGGTAGAGCTTTGTATGTGGTGAGGTACAGCTTAGTATGTGGTGAGGTAGAGCTTTGTATGTGGTGAGGTACAGCTTTGTATGTGGTGAGAGAGAGTTTTGTATGTGGTGAGGTAGAGCTTTGTATGTGGTGAGGTAGAGCTTTGTATGTGGTGAGACAGAGCTTTGTATGTGTTGAGGTAGAGCTTTGTATGTGGTGAGGTAGAGCTTTGTATGTGGTGAGGTAGAGCTTTGTATGTGGTGAGACAGAGCTTTGTATGTGGTGAGGTAGAGCTTTGTATGTGGTGAGACAGAGCTTTGTATGTGGTGAGGTAGAGCTTTGTATGTGGTGAGACAGAGCTTAGTATGTGGTGAGACAGAGCTTAGTATATGGTGAGGTACAGCTTAGTTAGTGGTGAGACAGAGCTTAGTATGTGGTGAGGTACAGCTTGGTATGTGGTGAGGTATAGTTAATTGTCTCTTGTACAGTAAAAAAGTTTCCCTTTTGTGGCAAGTGAAGTAGAGTTCACTTGTTTCTGTGACCCGGGCAAATGAAGAGATAGTGTGGTTAGCACTATGCCCAACCGCCTTTACTTTCCCTAACATCAGAGTTGGGTGGACTCTGGGACGGTTTACTGACTTGAACCCGGATTCGAACTCGAGACATACGGGTTAGCAGTCCAGCTCTCTACCGCTAGACCACTCCGTCCTGTACAGTATCAACACAGTATCACAAACCGTGGCAACACATCATCACTACTCCAAACAGATGATCATTACACAGTCACCACACATCATCACTAAACAGAACATCTCAACATAGAACATCACCACACAAAACATCAGCAATCAGAACATCATTACAAAGATCGTCACCACACAGAACACCACCACTCAGAACATCATCACACAGAGCCTCAATACAGAGAACATCAACACACACACACCTTCACAAAATAGATATTCTAGAACATCTATTAGCATTCGAGAAAAACACATCTCAACAATGCAACAGTAAACGAGCAATACATTTTAAAACTTATATTATCCCAAGTCATCAAATCTAAGTGACTACTGAAACGTTTTTTTCAGTGTCGCGAAACAGATAGATGAAAATTGTTACGTTTATAAAACTGAATAAACAGCATATTGTTAAACAATAAGTAATTTTTCACTATATGACTAAATAAAGCGAACTTGTAGATGTATGAGCTTGCATTATCAGTACATTAACAGGTGAACATACCTGCCATGCTCGATTGGGTTATCCGTACCATTGGGTCTAATAGTAAGCCCTCATTCCAGATGTCCTCTATCAAAATTGTAAGCATATGCTACGTCCGAGTTCTTACCCTACTCTTCTTCTCAAAGTAGCACATTTTCTGAATACCCGTCTACGTCCCCTTTAGGGATGTGACGTCCTGTACAGACGACACCGACCCCCCCCCCCCCCCCCGGCCCACCCAACCCCCTTAACTACCCCAATTGTTTGTGCCTGGCTAGATGGAGAACAATAAAACCTTAGAGGGTCGTACATTCCATTACCTGGCTCTATAAAAGGGACAATCGTCTAGCTCTTGGCCCAACGTGTTGGAAGTTGTAAATGTTAGACAGTCTCTTCCTTGTAGATGTTTGATCGCTGGGTATCTGGTCAAGTGGAAGGGGGTGGTTTTGTGATGTATGTGTTTAGTATAGGAGGGTGTTTTGGTGTTGTTGGAGGTTGGACTAGGATGGTGTTCTGGTGTTGGAGGTTAGACTTGACTAGGTAAATGATCTAGAGGTTATCCATAATGACGGCACGCTTGTTTTGACGATTTTTATCTCCCCCCCCCTTCCCATCCGTCACACATCGTCACAAAAAGCCAGACCCCCCCCCCCCTAAAATGACGTCAAGCCTCAGCCTACAACCCCCCTCCCCCTCAAAATTGTAGTTGAAATTTTCTTAAAACGTCGATATTTTTTCCAAAATCTTGTCTGAACTCTATCAAAATAGAGACTTTTAATCCATTCCTATTGCAACTTATTAAAACAGTTTTCTAAAACGCGAAATAACATCTAAAATTCATTTTCTAACATTGCTTTTTTAAAATGCAAAAGTGTGACGTCGCACCATCTGAACCCCCCCCCCCCCCTCTCCCTCTCATCACACACCGTCACAAAATTACGGACCCCCCCCTCCCCACTAGGAGAAACGTCATTTATGGACGACCCCCTGATGGTATGAGTGTTTGTATATACTTTGTGGGTATATAGAATTTTTTAGACGCACTCTAGTTTATAACGTAGCCTATAATCATAATCCAAAAACAAAACAATTCTTTAAGAAACAATAATTTAAAAAATGTCATATCATTAACGCTGAGTAGATTTTATTTTCTGTATCAAGGGACAGAACCGCTTTTAAGCTCCAACAAAGCCCGATGCTCGTGCAGTTATGTATTTTCATTGTTACTTCCCCTGCACTGTAAAACTGTAAGGGTGTCGGTCTGTTTTTCTCTCCTATGTATTCTAATAAATTTTGTTCGGTTTAATTTATATTGTCTATTATTATTGTGTAGTTACCTATCTATAAGAGTATTCTGTTTGAATGGTTATAACAAGAAGTAGTGAAGACGATCTAGTCTTAAAATTGAAACCACCTTTGAGAAAAATTTTTTTTTTAACTGAAAGCCTCTATTGTTGTTCTCCTAACGACTGTTTTATTGAGACTCTTATGTTAATATTGTACTAACCACCTGGCCTACAATGACACCTACCTCGTCTTTTAACGGTCCATGCCTAACAATAAATTAAGCATTAGCTGTTTTCTTTGTTGAATAAAAAGAAATGGAGTAACCTTCATGTAACTCAGTTTAAAATCGTGGTACCAAAAACACAGACAAATAAAATTAAGATTGCTCAGTA